TTGCTGTCAATGAACCATACAAAATTGCGAAGGGGAGGGAGAAAAGGCAGACACGAGAACTGGAACGCCTTATAGATCAAGCAAACTTGATTGCATATGCATTCGTAGCTGCACAAGAAGAGATTAAGGATTTGGAGCCCTTCTCATATATTGAAGCAACTTCTTGCAAGGATGTTGTACAATGGCGGTTAGCCATGACTGAAGAGATGAAGTCTCTTCACAAGAATCAGACATGGGTCTTAGTGAAAAGAGAAAAGGGGAAGAGGACAGTTGGATGCAAGTGGGTCAAATGCTGCTAGGTTCGAAGCGAGATTGGTTGCAAAAGGTTTCAGTCAAAGGAGGGAATTGACTATAATGATATTTCTCTCAAGTCGTGAAGCATAGCTCAATTCGCGTGCTACTAGCATTGGTTGCCTAATTTGACTTGGAGCTTCAACAGCTTGATGTCAAAACTGCTTTCTTACATGGTGATCTAGAAGAGACAATCTATATGGATCAGCTTGAAGGTTTCCTAGCTGAGGGAAAAGAAGATCATGTATGCCAACTAAAGAAGTCTTTGTATGGTTTGAAGCAACCCCTAGACAGTAGTACAAGAGGTTTGATGTATTCATGACTACACATGAATTCTCAAGGAGTGCATTTGATAGCTGTGTGTATCGCAAGAAGATGTCTGGTAACTCAATGATTTATTTACTGTTGTATGTTGATGATATACTTATTGCTGCTAACGATATTACAGAGATAAATGCTTTGAAGAAACTGTTGAGTAAGGAAGACATGAAGGATTTAGGAGCTGCAAAGAAAATCTTTGGTATGGAGATTTCAAGAGAAGACGGTGTTGTACATCTTTCTCAGAAGAGGTATATTGAAAGGGTTCTCGAGAGATTCAATATGCATACGTGCAAGCCTGTAAGTACACCATTAGCTCCTCATTTTAAACTTTCAGAGTTACAAATGCCTCAATCCGAGGATGAGGTAGAGCATATGTCAAAGATTTCTTAAGCCAGTGCAGTCGGCAGCATTATTTATACTATGGTATGCACACGTCCAGATATAGCTCAACCTGTAAGTGTGGTAAATAGATACATGTCCAGCCCAGGAAAGAGGCATTGGGAAGCTGTCAAGTGGATATTGAGATATTTCAAAGGAGCTTTTGGTGTTGGTCTGACCTTTCGAAAAAGTGGTGGAGGTATTTTAGTTCTCGCTTATGTAGATTCTAACTATGCAGGAGATCTTGACAGAAGAAGGTCCACAACTGAATACATCTTTACCCTTATTGGCAGTGCCGTTAGTTGGAAGTCGACTCTGCAGTCGATTGTCGCTTTGTCTACAATAGAAGCAAAATACATGGCAACAACGGAGGCGGTGAAGGAATCTATCTGGTTGAAAGGTTTTGTAGCGGAATTGAGTTTGGTTAAGCTGGAATCAACTTTTAGATGTGATAGTCAGAGTGCTATTCATCTAATGAAAAATCAGAGATTTCATGAGCGCACTAAACACATTGATGTCAGATTTTATTTTATTAGAGATGTTGTTGAAGAGGGAACTATCAAGGCCGTGAAGGTTATCACAGACGATAATGCTGCAGACATATTGACCAAGATAGTCTCGCTCGCTAAGTTTTCACACTGCAAGGACTTGGCGGGGGTGTGCATCAAATGATACAACTANAAAATAAAAAGAAATTTATCTTTTGTTATCATGCTTAATTCAGTTAATGATCATATGCAATCATATTAAAAACTTTCGTTAGTTTTTTATAATTATTTAAATACTACTTTGCCTCTGGCAAAAAAGAAAAAAATTTCATATAATTCTAAACTCTTTCACATCTAAAATCCTATAATTATAGTTCTTTAAAACACTATAGCTAGATTTGAATAAAGCAGATTTCTTTTAAAATAAATATAATATATAGGGTACATGTCTATGTTTATTCAAATAACAAAAAAGAGTTAAAAATCAAATAAAAGTTTACTTACATATATAAGGAAGTAAACCTACATGGTATAGAAAGAAACATCACAATAATGTGTTAATATTCAAAAAAAAAAGTTATTTTCTTTTTGAAGAATGTTTGTTTGAAGAGTCAAACTGTATAAATGGAGATAAAAAAATAACAAAATATTGGTTATACAATTGCTATCACTAATTTTAATTTAGCACCTTTTAGGAATTGAAGGGTATAAGTTGAAACCTTTTTATTTAGTTGCAGTCAAGCCATCATTGCAGGGGTATAATATTTTTTTCGTCGAAGAATATTAGTTCTGAATCATTAAATTATGTGAAAGGTTTCTCGAATTTCAACAAGAGGAATATTGGTTTCTAATTGGTAGTTTCTATATCGATTTTCAAGTCTATATCGATGACGCCAAATATTTTTAAAAAAAATGTAAAAAATTATTTCAAAAATGTGATTATTTTTTAAAATATAATGTAATTTTAAAAATAATAAGATAATATATTTTTGAATTTTAGTAGAGAATTTTTAAATTATTATAATAGAAGTCATATTATGGATGAAATCCAGTAACCGAAATCTTATGAAATATTTACATAAATATCCGGCCAGATTTATCGTTGATCTTTTATAGCTGATGTACATAGATGATATACTGACAATACATGATTATACACATATTATATGTGGATTATATATAAATTACACATTCTTTAATTTTTTAATTGAAGTAGTTGGGTGAGCACTTATTTAGGTTGATTAGATAAAGTTAAAAGAAAAATATGAAATAATTTTAACCAAAGGCAAAAAATATGAATAATTTTTTTATGTAGACAATTTCTATTAAGAATTATCCTTTTATAGCGAAATAAAATAATTTTTTGTTACAAAAGAAAGAAATACATAAAAAATAAGATAAAAGAAAATAAATATAGAAAAAAATGTATGGAAAATCTAAGAACCAGAAAATAGCGATGACAACGAATTTCTTCTTCTCTTTTATCTCTGTTGAGTATAAAAATTTGGAAGCTGATCTCATCGATTTTAAAAAAAAAATTAACTCAAATACATAGATTATAAGATAAGGATATCTTAGAATATATTTTTTCTAATTTACATTGTGTGTCGTTTTCAAAAAATTACTATTACTAACAAACTGATATGATATTCGAATATGAATTTAGATGCAATTTGAATAGTTTGCATTGATGTTAAGCCAAGTATGGTGTAGAGAAAAAACTACTTAGTAATTTTAAGATAATATGTGCAATGTTATATAATAACAATCAACTAATTTAACATTTAGTGATTCAAAGAACAAAAAATTTGTATATATAGGGTATTCAAAATTTAAAATCTATGAGATATCAATAAACTCAAAATATAGCCTTACTGAAATAAAGTTTCACCGACTAAAAAATTATTTAAATATTTAGTTAGTCGATTAAAGTGAATTTTAAATTAAGGATGATATCTTCACTTGCATCATTAAAAAGCTAATCATTATTGAAATATATATATATATATATATAGTTTTAGAAATTAGAATTTCAAAATAAAATATTTTTTGAAATATAACAACATACCAAAGAAGAGTTCATGTCATAGTAAAAGAGTCATGTCGTAACCAAAGAGTCGTTTATATTGTGTCAGCCTTTGTGCTTTGCCATAAATACGAGTTATTATTTCGCTTCGTGACTATTTTTAGGTTCCAATGACTCCAATAAGAATGGTGCAAAAAAAATCACTACGATATTTTAAAAAATATTAGTTTTTTCATGTAGTATTTCTTAAATAATATCAAACGATTATCTATAATTATATAGAAGGTTTAAATTTTAAGTTATCTACGTATAATTCAAATAACTCAGATGTTTAATATGGCTAGTGTTAAATATCAAAATGGTGTCATATTGGAAAAAATAAATTCAGTGGCTAAAGAATTATTTAAATTTTTAGATACCGAACTAAACTGAGTTTTTGAATTAAGGATGATATTTTTACTTCCATTATTATAAAAATAATCATTATTGAAAAATAAAATTTTAGAAACTGAAATTTTAAAATAGAAATATTTTTTGAAAGATATAAACACACCAAATAAGAGTTCAAGTAGTAATACAAGAGTCAAGTCATATCCAAAGAATCCTTCATAGTCTCAACCTTTGATTGTTTTGCCATAGATATGAGTTATTATTTTGCTTCCTAACTATTTTCAGGATCCAATGACACCGCTGAGAATGATACCAAAAAAAGAAAATAGAATTATGACTAGGAAATTTGAGAAATAATTAATCTTTTTCATGTAGTGTTTCTTAATTTATATCCAATAATTATCTATATTTATCAAGAAGGTTTAAATTCTAAGACTATTGACACATAATTCAAATAAAAAAATATTTGACATGATTAATGTCCGCGCGGGTGCTAATACTAGTTTGATAATCAAATTTAACAAGTATGTGCTTTAAGAGTTGTCGCGATATTAAAAATTGTCACTTCTTAAACCAGGACAACAAGTTCAAGTAAAAATAATTACTTACAAAAATACAATATAAAGTTACGTACAATAGACCAAATTTAATTTGACTCTTCCTTAAGAATCTGTGAGATGTATCCTATCCAGGGGCGGAGCTAGCATGCGAAATATATGTTCGGTCAAACCCAATAGCTGTGGTCCAAAGCATGAATGTATTTATCTTAAGGAATTCATTAAATATATAGTATAAATTTCTTAATTTAAAATCTTGTAACTTGAACGAATTACATCTTGAACTGATTATAAACTTCAAATTCTGACTCCGTTCCTATCCTCATCCTACTCTTCCTTTATTTGAACTTCCAATGCATTGACAATAACAATTCTCCTTCAAACCCACTGTTTGTAATAAATCAGAAAAGCAAAAGAGTGAAACAAGAAAAGCAGCTCAAAAGCATAGGCAAGTAGAGGATATAAAAAGGCAGACATTAAGTAAAAGATGCCACTTTTTTCTCCATTAACTTTAAATAAATAAAGCTGACTGTCGCATTGCACGAAGTTATTTTAACAATGCTGCATATCAAGAAAAGTTGGTGCTAAGAGCGTATATTAGTCACATTCATTTGCAAAAGTCTCTCCGTTTCTGCACTTAGCTCTGTTATACAATAATGGATTCTCTTCAAATGAAGAAGATTCAAGCTATCAACAAGTACAGGAAACAACGGCTTCTCAACAAACTCATGCTTTATTCATTCACTGCACTGAGTTGCAGTTTATTTCTCTCTAGTCCTCTATGGTATCCCATTCTTCGTACTTTTGTAAAAGTCCTTCTCTTCGACTCTCTACCCAAAGTTGGTGCACTATTTTTCAGTCCTAAGTGTATCTTCATAGTTGGTAACCTCATAGTTATAGTTCTTGTTGGAGAGTCTAAGATCTTCAAATCAAGATCCTCTTCTTTAGCCTCTAATGTAAATCTGAACTATGCAAAGGAGCAAGAAAAGGAAGAGAAGGATCAGAAAAACTTCATTTTTCTTGCTGGAGAGTCTAAGATTTTCAGGTCAAGTCATTATTCTTTACCCTTTAATGGAATAGAACTGAATCATGAAGTGCAAGAAGAGGAATTTTGCGGATATGGTGATAAAGAGGAGGACCAGAAAATTAGGGAAAATTGTACCAGAAAATGCGGAGATAATGAGAAAGATCAGGAAGAGAAATGCAAGGGTGATTATCAGGAGTTCAAATTCGGTGCAGAGCCTAATGAATTGAGTAAGAGAGCTGATGATTTTATTGCTAGGGTCAACAAGCAAATTAGGCTTGAAGCTGTAACAATAGTTTAGACCAAGCATATGTAATGCCTCAGACAGTTGCAATTTGCATAATTTGCTCACGAGTTTTAAGTATTTCTGTACACTGATAATGTGTTGTTGTTTATACCATCAAATTAAATTAACTCAAAATAATAAGCAATTACTGTAATAAGTATGTAGAAATGACACCAGTAGCCATTTTAGAGAGCTCATATTTAGAAATTAGTCGGTGTGTCCTGAATTTCAAGTTTCCAGTTTAATTTATCAGGACACAAAGTTCTGAAGTTAAATTTATAGTTCAAATTTTCAGGATCAAGGGTGTGTTTGGTATAACAGAAAATGTTTTCCGTGAAAAATGTTTTCCAAGAAAATGCTTTCTTGGAAAATTACTATTAGTAATCTTATTCATTTTCCGGTGTTTGTTACGCAAATAAAGGAAAATGACTTCTCAAGAATATTCATAAATAATTTAGATATAATAAACATGAAGCTATAAACTTTCAAACCAATAACCTTCCGAACCCATATTTTTCATAAACTTTTGAACCGCTAAACTTTTAAAATCGCGGAATTTCGAACTCATAAACTTCCAAACACATAAACCTCCGAACTTTGGAACTTGTAATATTTNGGTGGGGAAGGTTGAGAAGGAGTTTTGGAAAATGTTTTCCCTTCTCTTGATAAGGAAAACATTTGCTTCCAATTCGAGGAAAATGAGTTCATAAGAAAAATTGAAAAACATTTTCCGAAAAATGTTTTCCTTCGTACTAAAAGTAATGGCTAATCCCGAAATAGCCGACCTAAAAATGGCTATTTGTGTACTTCAGTAATATGATAACCTAAAAAATAGAGCAAATAGCATGTTGTACTATGTTAAAAATACATTAATGTTATAAAATAAAGACTATAAAGTAAAGACAAGTATAGAGAGAAACTGATATATTATTCGAATTCAAACTGATGTACATAATGAACTGAAATCTCTTCTATTTATAGAAGAAAGGAAGTTGCTGTGTAAGCTGCTATTATACCAGATATGGATAATCTTCTACTGAGAGCAATGTTTATCCATAACGGAGTACTGAAAGGATAAGCTTATTATACCCGGTATGGATAATCTTCTACCGGGGGTAATGTTTATCCATAACCGGGTATCGAAGTGATAAGCTTCTTCAGGAAGCTTATTTCCAATAGAGTACTTAAATAGATAAACATATTTACGGTGGAGTCCCATATGGATAAGCTTCTTCAGGAAGCTTATTTACAACGGAGTACTAAATGAACATCCATAATATAATATATTTATAACACTCCCCCTTGGATGTTTATTAAAAGATAATGTGCCTCATTAAAACCTTACTAGGAAAAATCACGTGGAAAAAAATCCTAGTAAAGGAAAAAGAGTACACATATTTAGTAATACGCATTGCTGGCTGCCTCATTAAAAACCTTATAAGGAAAACCCTGTGGGAAAAACCTTAGTAAGAGAAAAAGAATACAGTGCGTATTTTACTCCCACTGAAGAAAACCTTATTTCAAATATTTGAGTCTCCGCATTCCAATCTTGTATACCATATTCTCAAAAATTGATGTTGGTAAAGACAATCTGCTGGATTGTCACTTGAACTAATTTGATGCACATCAATGTCACAATTTTCCTGAAGATCATGTATGTAGAATAATTCTGGTGAAATGTTCTTCGTTCTATCTCCTTTTATAAATCCTCCCTTTAATAGTGCTATGCATGAAACATTGTCTCCGTATAATATTGTGGGTCTTTTATCACATTCCAACCCACATGTTTCTCGAATGAATCCCTGATCTCAATCATATGCACTCCTTGCTTGCCGGTTTGAATCGAGCTTTATGTGTATCGGATATATAACCTGCATCTGCATTACCAATACGATCTGCACCACTTTTGTTAGCATTAGCAAGATAAATAAGTGCACCATCTACACCGAGATAGAGTATTTCAGGATCAAGGAGCTCCCCATCCTCTTCTAAAGGTTGGAACGGATCCTTATTCACTTCAAGTGATTGAATATTCATTGGTGTACTTAATGAGTACACTTTGTCCATGTAAAAGTATTTTTAAGACCCTCTTGGAGCTCTTCCGGAGTTCCAATAAGATTTATGTCACCAACATAAACAGCAAGTGTAACAAATTTTGATGACATTTTCTTTATAAAAATACATGGACAAATAACATAATTTATGTAACTTTCTTTCAGCAGATATTTACTGAGGCGATTATACCACACGCGCACATATTGCTTTAAACCGTACAAAGAGCTTTATAATTTGATCGAGTACATTTCTCAAGACTTTGAATTATATGCTTCGGACATTTTCAAT